TCTCCGTCTACTTTTCTCCGCGACATGTTTTGTTTTTAATCGCCTACCGTTTGAATATGTGTACCGCGCGCGCGCGTGTGTGTGTGCGCGCGTGCGCGCGCGCGTGTATAATATGTGTGTGGGGCTTATAACAAAAACACCATGAATTATCCATCAGGGCGGATAATTTTGGCGGCTTATCTAACGTACGACACTGCGTAGTCGCCGTCGTATTGACCTAATACTTACTTATTAAAGTCGACCGGCATGCCGTGCGTGCTGTCCCATACGACAGGGGAGACGCGGCTGCCGAGACTGCTCGCTGCTGAGATCTCGGTGTGTTTGTGTGTTAGTGAACGCGACACAATAGTCAATATGAGCCGCGTAATAGCATAGACCCAATGAATAAATCACACGAGAAGCTCGAGGGGGCAGGGAATGTACCGTTATATGGAGCACGACACGGCCGCACAGTGGGTATTTTACGTATTCAGAGATGTCCTAATCTACTTATTTGCACTGGCTTTATACCTGCCTGCAACAAAATAATAAACTGGACGTCCCGAGATAACCCTTATGGAAATATAGAGATGAAAATAGAAATACCTATGTGTGTTTACTGTTTACCATTTCACGGGTTTATCTAATAAAAATGTCAAAAGTGTATGAAATACGACGTAAACCATTGTTGTTTATGGAAATTAACGTGATGGATACGCCGTATTGTTATTTTGCCACTTAAATTAGGCAGGTCGAATAATATCGGTTAATATATTTTAACGCCACGGAGTAGAAGGTTGATTTTTAGGTATTTACCACTCGCCAGTAGGCTTAGAAATTATAATGTTTGGCTATCGGGTCCCGTTGTACAAGTATGAAAAAACTATTATTTTAGACAACAATCACACGGTACTCATTATTATGATATTGAACTAATGAAATTTGAAAAAAAATCCAAAATAATTATTTCTTCCTAAAGATACGTTCATCAGCTGCACTTTTATCGTATTGCAATCTATAAACGTATCTTAAAATAATTTAGAAAAGGTTTTTCTTCTATAATTAAATCTAACATATGTATATGCATATCAAGTTTTACAAATCATTTGCAAATCATCTAGTAGACCAAGTAAAAAAATCTGTAGTCACGATAATGATCATATTTTTTGTTTGCGGTAATCGGTACGATGTGATAAAACTTAAATTATAAATATTATGTACATTTAGTTTCGATGCGATAGCTGAGAAGGTTTTGGCTTTATAATTTTTTTTTCCGAAGACACAATAACTTTTTTCCCGTGGGTCGAATTAACCGTGGAGCACCTCTATAGATCCGAAATCGTATACAGATGGTACATTAATGGGTTAAAGGTAGAAAAAGTCAACTTCTTCGTCCTCAAAACCGGGAAAACCCGAACCAAAGTTTGACCGATTTTCAACCGTCAACTTTGATTTGCTTTATCTTCGCGAAAAACAGTCGGATATTGTAAAAAATTGTATAGATCATTATGATCAGGCATGTCGTTTTCAAAAAAAAAACGCTTCGATGCCAATCGAAGTATTTAGTACGGACAGTTGATCGTTCAACGCTTGGATTGCGCACACCGGGTTTTCCCTATCGTTGAACCCATTACCGAAACCATGGTTGCATCCGTTGCTCAATGAGTTTTTTTTATATGAGATCGTTGACGTTGTCGCACGGTTTGGATAGACAAAACGAGTCGTCAGTGTGTTGGACAACGTGTCCCGCTTTAATATAACCTTTTGTTCTGTTCTCGCCGAGCAAGCGTTGACGCTGATCATTTTTTATTGTTGGTACGTTCAGAGCCACACTCAAACCTCAGACCACATCCCTCGGTCGATTGTATTCTCCAGTCTTTACGGCTTTCGTCGAGTAGTTTGAATGCGTAAATTGTCTCTTTTCAGTTCTTTACCATTTGAATTACACTACTTTTGGCGATTCCGTCGATTAGATTATTACCTTCAGTTTGAAAACGACGAATACAACCACCGAACTATAAGAATTTGATCATGACCTATAATTTTAAGGCGACAGAGCCAAATATCTACGACTAGTAGAAATGTAGCTTTCGGGTGTTACAGGATACACAAATCGTTACTACGGTATAAAAAAGACCCAAAATATATTAAAATAATTTGGTATACTCAATTCTACTGACCGGTAAGCGTTTAAAAAGTGTAGGACGTTTAAGGAACAAGACACACTGGGTTCGTTGTTGTATATAAACAAGAATGAAAAAGACCGCGTAAAAGAAGTTTCTTTTTCAAGGAAATCGAATAAAAATGATAAATTTTCATAGACGGACTTTCCCGTGACCCTATGCAGTTTAGTAGCACATACTTTTGTTTTGTACAGTTAAGGTTTAAGGAGTTTTTTCATTGTCGTCACCTGTCGTCTACCATCTCTTTTCCGCGTTGCAACTTAAAAACTATCGCCTTGGTCTCTTGGTATATGACATTTAACTAACACATTGTAGTTTTCCGAAAGCTGAGCAAACATTTCCTTGAGCTTGTTTGTCATTTGAATTTTGGTCTATCTATTTTTGCAAGTCTTCTTTTCCTGCCATCACTTTTTTATAAGAAATAACTTTTTCTAGCTTACCAAATATCCTAACCAGGTTCTTCGGAACATTACTACAACAAATCGGTATTAAACTTAAAGGAACAAATCTAGTTTATCGGGCACCCTTTTTATTTCGATTTTTTTTTTATTTGATGGTATGTTTAATGCTGATTACGAATCTGCATTGTTTTGCCGGACGAACTTAATTTGGGATCTATAGACATTCGAAGATCGCGCGTAATGCAAAGCTCCGCGACAATACTCGTGGCGAAATCCCAAAGCTATATATTTTATCCAGATCGGGTTTTTATTGCAATTTAGATATTTAAATATGCTTAAAATGCCATGAGCTACCAAAATGGCTACCGAGAATGGTATACATTTATACGGTTTAAAAGAATGCAGTTTAGAGCGGTCTCTTTTTAATTAATTATGTCGTTTAAGGTTCTTTCTATGTCTGAACACACGAAAGTATCCGAAAGGCCATTTAATGACATAAATTAGTGATGGTAGTGTCATCGATAATTTCAAATGGGAATGTCAAAATAAAATGGAAATTCGTACAAAGAAAAAAATCGTTTGCAACAGGTAAAAATAATTTTTAAAAATGAGCAAATTTTTTCGTTTTAAATTTAACTTTTATTATTTATAATAGTGTTTCGTGGCATCGACATTCTTTTACCGGTCCCACTTACCTCTACTTTCCATTTTTGGTCAATGAATTGCCCATCCAGCGTTATTCAAATGCTTAATCAAACTATTGTGGATTGGGGATCTTAGTCTGTGTCATAAAGTATATTAATATCTGTGTACACGAGCGTTATCAGAAAGATATTACGGCAAAAAAATAGGACCACGACGGGCAAAGGGAGGTAGTACCTGCGCCTGGCCGAGTGCCCGCGTATGTCGATATCGGCAATCATTAAATGTCTGCAACTCTCAAAATAAGTTTGTCCGGCTAAACATTTTTGCAGATTCGTAATCAGTATTAAAAGCACTATAAATTAAAAAAAAATCGCAAAAAAGGGTGCCCGGTAAACTAGATTTATACCAAATGATTTTTATCTTTCATAGTTTTAAGAATTTCTCTATTTAGTTGTCAGTTGATCAGAACGAGTGTGAATAACACAAAATTAAATCACAACACATTTTAGGATTATATATTACTTTTATTTTTTACACGTATTAAAATATGTACAATGACCATTTTATTAGGTGTAGAATATTTGAAAATACATTTAATAATATTTTTTTCGTAGTAACATAGTTTTAATTTACAAATTAAAACTAAACGTCGAGCGTTGGGAGAAACAAACAAATAATTTTGAAAGACAAGTTCCTCGATCCCTCTAAAAAAAGTTTATTTAAGTACATAAGCTTAGTATCTTCAACAAAACTAATACGTAAAACATATCAATGCTTAAAATGCAAACAAAACCTGAGAAATATATACAATTTCTCCACTTATTTATACATTAGAATATTGAAATGTGGTTATTTATACGTTTGTATTAATAAATATAAAATACAAATGTTTATCATTTTAATTATTTATACAATTAAATATAATTAATAGACTTCCCAGTTTACACATTATTGTAATTTATGATAATAGGCGATGCACGACTGAACTCACCCAATTTTTAAGGTACATGGACAAAACTATAAAACTGATAGCCAGAAGAATCAACGATAAACCTTTACTTTATCGAAGGCCAAAGCAATAAACATTAAAAAAAAAAAGCAAAGTAATATTACTTGACTCTTATAAGTATATTAAAAATAGTAATAGCATATAAAGTAACGTTACGTTATTAACGCAACGACTTTAATAGTATAAACTTCACATAGCCGTGTCTAGCATAATTTTTGTGGAAGGAATACTGGTTTGATTAAGATTTTTCGTTACTGAAACCATAAGATGTCTTTGAGTAGATACATTTCTGAGAGGAGGGAGGTTAAATAATGAAAACTTCCCCTTAAAATACATCTGAAAAGTGTGATGTTGGTATAATAGCCTAATAAAGTTTCTTTTGTAATTAGTTTCGTTTAAAAATTAATAAAAGGCAAAAATCATAATTGAATCGGTTACATCCAAAGAGCGGAATATTACGTCACGTTCGATCAAAGATGGTCGGGTAGTTTGTGTATCTAGCCAGAGCAACGAATTTAACATATTGTAGGTGAACAGAGGAGGACAACAGGATGAAAGGGAAAAATGTTAATTTGCAATGGAAATGCGGTTATGATCTGTCCTTTTCGACAGCGCACAGTCAGCTGACACGACGTGCATATAAAAGGAAAACACGACCGCGACACATCAATTGTCGAGCGCAGGAGCTCAGCACACATCCACTAACCACAACAACACAACACACACCTTTGCGCTGCGCTTTACACGACAATTTAAAAAAAAAAAAAAACATCAACATCAACAATAATAACGATAAATTTAATTAAAATTAAAACATATTAATAACAATGGAGTTCGTATTCAGTTCTTTGACATATTTGTTGCTATTCGTGTTGACCGCGGTTCTGCTGTTTCTGATCCGGGACGAAGTAAAGACCAAACGCGTGAACGAGGATACGGGCGAGGGACTACTTGAACCACCAGCGCCAAAATCGTGGCCAATCATTGGGCATTTGTATCTGATGGCTCGTTACAAAGTACCATACCGGGTGTTTAGAGAGATTATGGCCGATCTGGGTGCCGTATTCCGCATGGAGCTAGGATCGGTACCGTGCGTGGTCGTCAACGGACTTCAAAATATCCGAGAAGTGTTAATGATCAAAGGCGACCACTTCGATAGCCGACCTTCTTTTCGTCGTTTCAATCAGCTTTTTAAAGGCGACAAAAATAACTGTAAGTACATTGCTTTATACATTCCGATTTCGAAATAACTCGTTGTTTCCTTTGTACTTGAACCGAAAATTCATGTCGTCTGATTTTAATGTCATTTAGCTTTGGCGTTTTGTGACTGGTCTCAACTACAGAAATCTCGTCGCGAGCTGCTGAGAGCCCATACGTTCCCCCATGCCGCGTCATCCATGTACAACCGGTTGGACCAATGCGTTAAGACCGAACTCGCCGAGCTGACAGACACCGTTGACGCTATGTCCGACACGGGATGCGTAGACCTGAAAAACATATTGCTTCACTCGTGCGCCAACATGTTTATGTCGTACTTTTGCTCCGCTCGCTTCTCCAAATCGTACGACCGGTTCCGAAATTTCGTCCGAAACTTCGACGAAGTCTTTTATGACGTGAACACCGGATCCGCCTGCGACTTCCTGCCCTGGTTGACGCCGTTGTACCGTAGACATTTCAATAAGTTACGAACGTGGAGCTCTTCCATTCGACAATTTATGGTAACCGAAATTTTCGAACGGAGGCGCTCGGCGTGGACGGTCGACAGCAAGCCGACAGACTTTGTGGACAGCATTTTGGAAGCTTGTGCTCAACCGGAGAGGGATGACGGGTTCAACGCCGACATCGGTTTATTCGCACTGGAAGACATCATTGGCGGTCACTCAGCCGTCACTAACTTCATCGTTAAAGCGTTAGGGTTTTTGGTAGAACGGCCAGACGTGCAGCAACGCGTACAAGAAGAAGCGGATGCCGCCGTCCGGGTGTCCGGGAACATAGGGCTCGCCGACCGTTGTCAAATGCCCTACACCGAAGCGGTCGTTTACGAAACAATCCGGTTAATAGCTTCGCCAATTGTACCTCACATGGCTAATAGAGACACGTCCGTTGCGGGTGAGTTTACATAATATATATTTTAACACTGGAGTACGCCATGTATTTACTGAATGCGTGTGATTACAGGCATGAGAATCCCAAAGGGCACCACGGTGTTCGTCAACAACTACGACTTAAACATGAGTCCGGAACTCTGGGAAAACCCGGAACATTACGACCCGGAAAGGTTTATAAACGAAGAAGGTAGACTGGAAAAGCCCGATCATTTTATACCGTTCAGCGGCGGCAAACGATCGTGCATGGGATACAAGCTGGTACAACTCATATCGTACTGCACTATTGCCACTCTGCTTCACAAGTATTTTTTACTACCCGTGGAAGACGTTTCATACTCTGTACCAAAGGGTAATTTGGCCTTACCTTACTCTACTTACCCGTTTAAACTCCGAAAAAGAACTGCCGAATTCAAAAAATAAATTAATAATGGACAGCTATAGTCAGCAGTCAGTCGTTGTTAAACATGGATGTATTGCAATGGAAAATAAGTAAATCTATACAGTAATTGTATGTCTGTGTGTGTGTGTGTTGTGTGTTGTGTTTTGGGTGTTGTGTGCTGTTAATATTGTTAGAGAAGATATGGATATTATGTACTATTAGGCGGATTTAACTTTAAAAGTTATTTTATGATCTTGCAGTTTTGTTGTGATTCTATAACTCGTCATCAGTAAATTAGTTAATCATTTAATTGGGGTTGTTACCAAGAGAAGATCAATTAACAAAGCTAATCGTTTTTTATTAATGTTTAAGCCTAATTTAGTAGATATCCAATTCGATTTTCTCATAATTAAATATTAAAATCGTTTTTCTAGTCTTCAAAAAATTGTTATAAATTTTAAAAAAAACATATATTTTGCGATTTATGAATACGGTGAAAAAACTAGGTTATGTAAGACTTAATAAATTATTTTTTACAATAGCTAAATAAAACAAAATAATTTTAGAATATAAGCCAAAGATAAATTATTTTTTATGTAGGTAAGGTATATTATTGTTGTTCATAATAATATAGCACCAATTTAACAATGTAAATACTTTGTAAAAATGTAAAATATATATAGAAATATATATATTACATCATTATTTATAATATTTGTAAATCCGAAAAAAATACTTATATATTAAAATTAAATTTAGTACTACATGTTGTGTTAAATATTGGTTTTGTAGTAAAATAATGTTAACAATACATAAAGTTTAATTTTAACAAGATTATAATTAATCGAACTTATATTAAGTTTGTTTTTGAAGTAGATATTGATGTAATAAATAATTGTATGATCTCTTAAATACGTTGTTTGATTGTATGTAATATAAATGTCATAGCATAGTCTATTCATACTATTATAGATAAATTTAAAGTGCTTTCTATGACCTGTAAGCAATTATGCATAAAACGATTTTGATTACAACTTACAGACTATGGTTGCTTATAGCAACATGATAGATACACATATAAAGTGGCTGGACGTAAAACATATTTTTAAGGAATAATAACATAATATTTATTAATGTAAGCCAAGTTATCATGAGTAATAAATATATTTGAATGTAATCTATCACTACTTTATAAACATGTTTTGCAACTGAAATGTCCAAGGACTGAATAAATAAACGCCCATCTTCAATAAGTGCAGTTTATGCCAATAAAAGTGGTTATCTGTTATTTAATACATTATACACGGTGTCCGCATGAGAATAAATTTTAATGTTTTATATTTATTGTTACAACCAATTGGTTATTTGATTTAAGTTATTCTAATCATAAAATATCTGCCTTCTAAATTTAGACCACTTCTATTGTCATCAATAACTATCAATTAGGGCTTCGATGTAAAGGTAAGAAGGTATGTAATTGCTTTTATAACGTTGGGTTTTTATTGTTTTCTATTTTTGTGTTTAGACTCATTATGACTTTTAACCAGCTTCGTCCGATTTTAGACTTACAGCTATAATTAGTAGAGTATAATAAGTGTGTTTTTGTTTCTTAATTATGTTACCTACCTTATACAACTTGTCTGATACGACAACGTGTATCCCTGATTTGGATAATCTTTATAATCTTATATTTTAATATCTTAAATCGTTCTCGTTAATTTATATTAATCGCAAAATGTACAACATTTTGTAAATTCTACAACATTAACATATAGGTTATAACACACATCATTTTCTTAAAATCTATTTATAAAAGAGAGCAAACTTAGCAAAAACTAGCACAGTAACTCACTGTTAGTCAGAAAGTATTATACGTGAGTGAGTAAGGAAAGTTCAGTTTTCACAGATAAAAATACAAATACAAGTATTGTACTTATTTATACCTAATGATAATTATGTGCTTACAAATGAGTATTAGGGTGGGTACGATTAGGGATCTTCTGTCAATACAAATGTCTATACAAATTGCCTTAGGTACGCTTACCTATATACCGTAATAAACAATATAATGAAAATGTTTTTATTACTAGTTTACTGTTGATTCACTCACACATAGCAACCTAGAAATTGACTACGGTCAAAATAGAATTTTTACTTTTTTGTCGGGGGGTTTCCTACTTAAAAAAAAGTTTTACTACGGACATTTGAGAAAATATTGTAAGTTATAGCTCCATTCTAGATCTACCTTCGGTATAATTGTCATACCTAAATCCCTAAAACTGCTTTAAAAACATTTCTATCCTTTCTAGGGGAAAGAGTTTGTGATATATTTTTGGTTTGTCAATATTTATCGGTAATACTATGTTTAAAGAATATTCGATACAAATTTGTAATTAATTTTATTATTTTTAAAAAAGTTATAGAGCATCGTAATTTTAAGATGAAAAATGTTTACATTTTTTTTAGTGTTTTATCGATTTTGAAGTGGAAGGGGTGAATTTTTGGCCCAATAAAGTACCATTTAGGTATGATTTCTGATCAGTAGAGTTGCTACACGAAGAAATCGGTTCAGCAGTTTAAAATATATCGTGCGTCCAGACACAAAAATTAAGAATAAAAACACATCATTGTAAAAACAAAATGAGTAAAGTCGTGCTGTTTATGATTCCTGTGTTGCTAGGTGTGATTATGTATAGGTAACAACGGTATTAACAAATTAACAGACGATCAACCCTAATCGTATCCACCTTAATACTTAACATTTTTAAGATAATTATTGTTTTTACAATGCTTATATCTATATTAAATATTTCTACCATCTATAGATTCGAATCGAAGTGTTTATTTGAAGGTAATTTTATCACATTCGGTTATAATTTTTGAAGATCTACCCGGACCCAATATGCTTTGTCCCCACTATAACCCAACCCCACTGTGCTGGTTTTTTAAATTTTATTTTTAACGCCATATCCCAAATAAGGAGCGCTTGTGTTGGTCGGGGGGAAAAAAGCTGGTTTTCAGTAGTACGGAACTCGAACACACGGAAAAAACTATATAGTTGGGACAACCAGAATTATGGTTAATATAAGACACAATAATAATAGTTGAGAACCAACTGTATTTATAGTAAATGCAACTATACATTTAGTTCGGTCAACTATTTAATTAGTTATTCCAGCTAGAATATTTATTCTGTCTTATAATAACCATAATTATGGTTGTCTCAACTATATAGTTTTTTCCGTGCACGATAACTAACACAGAATAATCAAAGTTTAGTATAAATCATTCACAATATAAAATAGGGCAATAAGAAGTCAAGTCACATTTGCATGGTCCAATCTCGTTAGTCATTTAATATGAAACATCCAAAGTTAATGAAACGAAAAAAGTTGAAATTTACTTACTTTCTCTGTTTACTCTGGATGGATTCGTCTGACGGTTTTTTATACAAGCACTGTTAGTTTTTAAGTTTTTTATGAATTAATCCAAACATATCATGAAGCGTCTTGAATCGTGTACACTTGGCTAACTTAAGTTAAGACAATTATATTGTGTTGTTAATTGATTTAAGAGTACTGTCAAATAATTTGTTGCGAATTTAGTGTTAATTCAAAAATCCAATACAATAAAAAGTGGGCTAACCGCGAATTTGTATAGGAGTGTTTGGCAATAGTTAAATCGCTTTTAGATTTAATGACTACTGCCGTGACATTTTTTAATTATTATTTTTTTAAATATAATCATTATCTCATGTACGTTTATATAATATCAACAAACTCTGTATCGAAACTCGAATTCGGGAAGCATAAAGGAAACATTATTAGGCTATGACCGGAAACGTTGAACCACTAAAATTGTAGTCATTTTACTTTACTGTACAAATGTACATTTTTTTTACAAATTTAAAAAAAAAAAAAAAAGATAAAAATAATATTGTGACCTGACTACGATTTTAGATTTAAGTATATTGTGACGCAAGCAGACTTGACAATATTTCACTCACTCAAAGTAATCACTTTGTACCTAAATGATGCAAATGATCGATTTATCATTTTATTATGCATTTATAAATCAAGATTTTTATCATATTCAAAATCAATTGACCTCGATCAGAAAACATAAACATCCATGAATGAAAACTCGGCTGTCGTTTTCTGTATTGATCTAAATACTTGGTCATTGTCAAGGTCAAGTGTGATCACCTTGTTATGAGTGTTTGAATTATATGTATGTGCTCATACATTTATTATGTATTTTATTCACAATACTTATTGAAAGAGACTACACCAATATATTTTGTTATGTAGCCATTATGAAAAATAATAGTGATCACTCCTTAGCTGTTTAATTTACGTATTTCATACACTTGACCATCTTCATTTTGTCTTCTAGCAGAAAAAACAATTTAATAGTTTAATTATTATGACAATAACTTATACAAACAAATTCGAACGCAACGCAAAGAAAAATAATACAAATATATATAAATCATTTGATACGTAAAACGTACCTAAAATAAATTAATTTAGTCATTAGGCCAAATGGTTCCTAAACAGTTTTACTGTAGTATTTCGTGGTAATTTATTATAATATAATATGAATATGCTTTTTATTAAATATCGTTTACTAAACGTCAACGTTTAAATCTGATTTACAGGTTGCGATTTAAGAACAGAAACCATCTTCATTTTATTTCTGAACAGAGATGTAAAAATACAGTTTTGTATTTTCCAGTTGTATAGTACGGTATTTTTGCTAAAAATGAATTATGTTAATATCCATAACTTGGGAGTGGCGACTACAATAATTAATACTACAATTTATAATATTTTTTCGATAGTTTAAACTTAAAAAAAAAAAAACATTATCTATCATTTAGCATTTAATAGTAATCTGTAGTTGTATACATAATACATATTACAGTGTAATAGTACATTTGTTAAATTGTATTTTTTTAATTATATTAACACAATTTAAATTTATATGCACAATCCTCATATATAAAATGAGTGATTTGTAAAAATGTAAATTTGTTTTAATAATGATAGTCAATTGTCTAAAACGTAACTTTTTACAACTACCTTTTGGTAAATCATTTTAGTAAGAAATAAACAAGTGAATAACGTGTAAAAACGTTATATACGTGATATTAACTACCATGTTGTTTTTTATTTTATACCACTTGTATTTTATTATTTTATACAATATGTATTATACGCATGTATAATACAGTATAATACAAATTGTATTATACAATTTACATCACTGTTTCTGAGAAATAGAGAATTAATTTAACGTATTTTTTGTATTACATATTGTGTTACATAGTATCACGAGTAATTATGTAGG